ACTGCACACAGAAGAATACTAACCTGGGGTTTTGGGGGCAACATTCTCTGCGCGACAACCTCTCCTGCCAGAGCAGGCACCTCCTTTGCCACTGTCTTGTCAGATGATGTGGAGTGGAAGTCAAGGGGGCTACTGAGGTCTCTCTGTAGTGAGTGCCCAGTTCCCTGGCACGGCCTTTGCTGGTAGCCGGGATGTGACGTCACACCATCTTCCAGCATTGGTACATGAAGGAAGAGTCACTGATAAGCTGGCAGGCAATTATTGCCCCCTATCCACATTTTCTCTTCTATGCTGATAAACCTTCATGCAGCTCTCCATGTGTCCATGCTAACTAGTCTTATTGTCATTGATAATGTCTGTTATCCTGTTTTCTCAATGTAATTTCCTGTCCCCACACACAACCAGCTACTCCCTATCTTTTCATTCCAGCTCCTGTACTTAACTTTAAGATATAATCCCCAATCTCCAGTTAATTCCTTCGTCCATGTCTACTCAACTCCTTTATTCCTTTTTTCAATACGTTATTAAATTCGATCTCTTATCTCTTTATTGATTTAATCTCCTGTCACTTCTATGCAATGCCTAGAGCTGAGCAATCAGTACAGAGAGAGTGATTCTTTCAATAAACCACTCAACCCCAGGGAAGAGGTTCAACTCCAGATCCATTTAAATGTAAGGAAATGGGGGATGGTTGAAAAAAACCAAAAAATAAATAGAATAAAAATGTGTAGTATGGGGTATATATGAATGTATGTATGTATGCGAGTTTGTGTGTATTTGAATGTGTGTATTTACGAGTGTTAGGCTCCATGCTGCTATTATTGACTTTGTGTTGCAAATTTTTCTTCAACAGAGACATCATACAGCATCCTCACATGAACATAGACCCTGCACAACCTCCCAAGCGATGCCCTTGTGTCAATATTATTAAGTGTTCTTGCATAGCAAGACCACTTACTGTTATCTCACATATATATTATTCTTATTATAGCCAAATTTACCACCCTAACTCCTCCCACAGGGTTTACACTACAAAGACAGTAATACACCGAAACGTGCGGATTGTTCCCAATTGGTGTGCTATTACTTTGTGGAATGTTTTGCCGAATGGTTCACGAAATATTGTTGTTTTTGTGGTGAAATTGGTCCCATAGGAATGAATGGCGAAATGTTCAAAACTAGAGTGGGAGCTGGCAAAAGCTGAAAAATCAGGACATGATTTCTAAACTGCCACCACTCCCTCATTTTCAAGCCCACCTACACAAATCTTATATCAAAACGTTCAGCTATCCCTGCTGCCACTAACCATGTCCACAGCTAAGCCATAGTCCTGATAGTTTTCACAATATAATCATTTGTTTGCAACTCACGCCGGCCATTGACATTCATTGAAACTCCACTCTAGCCACCTAAAATTTGAAGGGTAATTTCTAAACTGCGACTGTACCTTCATTTTTAATATTTCAGATACATACTAAGCATCAAAATGTAGGTTTGGGTCTTGTGATTCTCACAATATAAAGCTCTTCGCTGTAGGATTTATAGTTTTTAAAATACAACAGTTTGAAGATGGCAACCGCCGGTGAAGTGAGCAATTTGGAGCAGTTTGTTTTTAATTGCTCTTCTCTGCCCTATTTGAAATCTATTAGTTCCTGTTGGCAGTTGGTGGAATGTTCGAGGGATTTGAAAGATTTGAAAGCTCTTCTCTGCCCTTGCTGTAGAGTGAGTGAACCACACTTCAACCTTTCCACAGTTACTCCAGCCACTCCAAACACACAACAGTTACTCAAGCCATTCCACCCAGTTACTCCGCCCACTCCAGTTGTAGACTTCTGGTGGAGGCAAGAACACTTCACACAATTTCCCCAGAAATTGTAGCTATTCTAGTTATTATTATTATTATGTTATTATTTATATAGTGCCAACAAATTCCGCAGCACTTTACAATGGGTGGACGAACAGACATGTAGTTGTAACCAGACAAGTTGGACACATAGGAACAGAGGGGTTGAGGGCCCTGCTCAATGAGCTTACATTCTAGAGGGAGTGGGGATTAATTGTATCAATGTGCCATAAATGACGCTACACACTTCCTTTTATAGGGAATTCCACTAAATGTCATAATTATGATACTGTAGGTAACAGACAGTGTGATACCAGCTTTAATAGTGCCAATTAATAGGTATTACTTAAAAAGGGCAGTAATAATAAAGCTAAAATATTAATGTGCCGGTGTGCAACTTTTTTTTTACATGCAGCTTATCATGGGAGCAAAAGCACAAAAAATCCCCACACAAATGCAGAAGTACAAATTATAAAACTAGTGAAAAGAAAACCCAAAGGCGCAAAAAGAAAAAATACCTGTTATATGAAAACAGTATTAAATTCCTTCTAAAATTATTTTCATATAATAGGAATTTATGGACTGAATAGACATCTGAATCCAATTAATTGGGAATACAAGCTGAACACTTCATAGACTTTCGGAACTTAGACGGGATTGAGACTTGGAACGATTAAGCGAAAATTTGCTGGAGCCGCGAATGCCAACCGAAAAGGACATCAGACGCTGAATCGAAAGCTGCAGATCTGGCAAGGTATTAAATCAGGAGATTTTTTTTAAAGGATCACTATAGGGTCAGGAACACAAACATGTATTCCTGACCCTATAGTGTTAACACCACCATCTAGCCCCCCTGGGCCCCTCATGCCTCCATAAATATAGCAACATCTTACTATATTCAAGCCTGAAGCTGTAACTCTGCATGCTGTTAGACTCAGAAAAACAAGCAGTCTGCTAACATCAGAATTGATAGCCTGATCCAATCACAATGCTTCCTCATAGGATTGGCTGGGACTGACAAAGAGGCAGATCAGGGGCAGAGCCAGCATGATTCAAACACAACCCTGGCCAATCAGCATCTAGTCATAGAGATGAATTGAATCAATGAATCTCTATGAGGAAAGTTCAGTGAATGCATGCAGAGGGAGGAGACACTGAATGTTTGGATGCATTTTAGGCAGCCATGACCCAGGAAGGATCTCTAACAGCTATCCGAGGAGTGGTCAGTGAAGTTATCACTAGACTGTAATGTAAACACTGCATTTTCTCTGAAAAGACAGTGTTTACAGCAAAAAGCCTGAAGGTAATGATTCTGCTCACCAGAACAAATTCAATAAGCTGTAGTTGTTCTGGTGACTATAGTGTCCCTTTAAACTTAGTTTTAGCTTGCGGAACACGTTTCAGAAATATTTACTTTTTTATATATATATATATATATATATATATACATACAGAATACTATTATTTTTATTTATTGATCTTTTAAAGGTTAATGTACTTCTCAGATTTGTTAAAAAGTAATGATGGTCGAGGCGCTCAAGTTCAATACAGTGGGCAGATTTATTGTTTTGAAATTTTTTATTGTTTTCACAATATAAGTGCATATTGCGAACTGGTTCGTAATAAAGCCAGAGGTTGCCCACGCAGGGGCTTAAGCAGTAAGTTATAGCATTCATTAAGGTGAACGGTCGCCTACGTAGAGGCTTAAATGTTAGCACATAGGAAAAAATACAGATTATCGCCTGCGCAGAGGCGTAATGATCAGAACATATAGGCGTACTTGAACTTTGCAGGAATACATTTCTAAGCATTACAGCATAAAAGGTAACAACATCCTATAATGCGTCAAACTGAAGTAAACTGTAGCTGATCATGCAATACATGTAATGAAGTATATAGGCAAACTAATGCAGTGTTAAAAGAAATGACCATCCTATAATACAAGTGCTGATGTATGCCTTAGCTATTGATGTGATACTGGTAGAGGGATGCATAAACAAACAAATTATATTACGTGTACATGGGTTCCCATATTATCGAGAAATAAACTAGGGTGCCTATATGTGAACCTGTTCCTTGAGCGTCTTCTCAGAATGTCAGAGTTAACGCATGATATATGTGACTAGATGAGCGCGGTCATTTCTGTGTTAAGATATAAGCATATTAATATACATCGTATAATACAACATTCTGGCTATTCAAGTAGGCAATAATGAATGGCGTCAAGCTTTTGCCCGTGGGGGCACTACAACATAACATATCCATTCTGAAGCTGATGTGTATAAGTCACCAAAGTAAATGTCGACAAAGCAGTTACATAAGAAGCATATTCGTTTGTGAACTTGGGTATATTCAACACTGAGTGTAGCCATCTGGCGCGGACAGTAACTGAATGCCCAGTGAATGAGAGGGAGCATTTAGAAAATAAAAATTATTCCTGACTGGCAGTTCGAGGGAGGCCCCGCATGTCTCCGCTGCAGCACAGTCCCAGGGATGCCGAGCCTCCTTCCGTCACCTCCGCAGTGCCCCCAGCCCACCGGCCGGGTCCATCGCGGCGCCGTGGGTCTCGGGGGCCGAAACTGTCCACCAGACCCCACCACAAAAGTCAGCGGGCGGCCAGCCCCTTGCACCTCCCCAGCGCCCCGCTGTTCCCTCTGCAGCGCGCACTCCCATGTCTCTCCCGGTGCCGGCCTCCCTCTTGGGGCCGGTGCGCGGCCTCCACAGCCACCGGTCCGCCGGAAGGGTAGCGCACTCCTGCCCCACAGGGCTCACAGCAGCGGGGACATGGTTCTCCAGGGACCCCCATACCTAGAGGCCGGGGTACTCACTACTCCTGTGGGTGCGGAAGCACCACAGAGGCTCCATCTGGTGCTCCGCCTTGCCCGAGTCTGCGCGAGCCGTCCATGCCAGGCCCCGATGCTGTATGCGCTGCTCAGCTTCTTCTTCTGGGCTTCCACAGGCTCGTTTCAATCTCACCCTGGGTGCTTCCTCTTGAACTGTGTACCCTCTCCACCGTGTCAGCCTCCTCTGTTATTCTGGCAGGCCTCTTCCTGACTGCCCTTGCCAGTGCAGGGGACCAGCGTGGTCCTCGAGCGGAGATGTCCGCCTCGGCATGTGCCGTCCCCATGAGGCCGGGTTCACCCCCCACCGACTGGGGGGGGGGCGGGGCAGGCCCCCGAGCCGGCGTGGTCCCCCGAGGGGATAGGTGACTCTATGATGCGTTGTTCATCCAAGCGGATCACCAGTCTCTGAGTCCTGCTCTAGCACCGTCTGAAGTCAGGCTTATGCTAACAGGTAGGCCGGATTTATTTGTGTTAGTGTTCCCGGCGTGCTGTCGGCCCTTTGCAGGTGTCTTTTTAATGCTGGGGTGCTTCTCTCTTGCAGCATGCCCAGATGTCCGGTGTTAGAGTGAGTTATATTAGGTTTTGTGGCCTTTGTTTGGGGCTCGTGCTCAGAGCCATGCTTGTCTGCTTCCAGTCGGCCCGGCAGCCCAGCCCCGCCCCCCCAGCAGATTTATTGGAGCAGAATTAAAACAACTTTTCGGCCCACAATAGGGCCTTTGTCAAGCTCAGATTTGTTGTGAGTTTTGTCCTTTATCTCATTTTTGTGGTTTCTGTCCTGTGATGTAATGCTACTCCAATCCCTGGGTTATTGATATCCATTCCATCACTTTTGCAATAGTCAAACTTCACCTTCAAGAGTGTTGGAGGTGCAATCAATGAGCCTAATTCCATCTGATGCTTCAATTCTGGTGAGTGACTCTGTCGACAGGCGCACAGACACAAGAATACCGTTTTTGTCCAGACACAAGATTGTCTATGGAACACGTTGTTATGATCTATATATATATATATATATATATATATATATACATACAAAAAATGATGGGAGTTGCACTCCAGCTCTCCTAAGTTACTGCCCGGTGCTCGGCTGCACAAATGTATAAAGTTCAAAAAAGAGTCAGCACTCAAGGACTATGAAATTGCAAAAAAATGCAAAAAACCTTTTAATCCAGTTGGTCAAGAGGTCAACGTTTCAGTCCATCGTCGTGGACTTTCATCAGGACATAAAATACAAAGTACAATATTCAGTTTAAATAAGAAAAAGCTAACTTACCAAATCACCTCCACCTGTATGCCGGCGTGGTCTGTTCCCCATTGCGCATGCGTGTCAATCCGCTCAACTACTTCCGGTGCAATAGTGCAGCCTACCCATCACCATATCAACCTATAAACAGATCGCAAAAACGGCGATCCGTAAACACATGTGTCTGCAAAAAGTGCTCAGTGCTGATTTCTCAACTTGATCCTCATATCGAGCTGGCAAAAAGCAAAGCCAGCAAATCTATTCATGTTCTGTTATAGACATTTATCAGTGAATCCACATTTATGGAGTGCAATATACTTGAAATCAGTTCTACTTATATGTAAGTGCACTTCATAATATGTACTTACAAAGTGTAATAAAAAGAAGAAAGTGAACATTAATTTACCTCATAAAAAAAGTGCAAGTGCTCAAATGTATAAAAAACTAGCGGTGATAATTTCTTAAAGTGACATGTGCATATATTTACATGCTATCTATCTATTGGGTTAATAAGTGAAAACACTATGCTAATATGGGGTTACAGTGTAATATGATGCATAATCACTACCTAAATAACAAATATAATAACACATACTCTGCTGCTGCATAACAGTATCATTCCCAGATCTAAGAATTTGAAACAAAATATTACTTGTGAACAATTATGTCCACTAATACTTAAATAATTATTCATGCTCCTATTGGTCTACAAATAGATACTAAGGAGTGGTGAAAACAACACTCCCTTAAGTAGATCTAAATACCAAATATAAAAAAACTCCTGTAATTTAATCTATATGAGATTAACTGGGAATATATACTGTAAATATGTTTGCAGACATAAAAATAAAATCAATATGATAACTTATCCAACCACTTAAATAAAATATATAAATGTCAATTTTTGCGTTAAGGCCCATGGGGGCCATAGTATTCAGTTCACGAATCCAAAATGTCTCTCTTTGCAACAATGCCTTAGAACGATCTCCTCCTCTTCTAGATATTGGAATATGGTCAATGGCTATACATTTCAATGATGTCAATGGATGTTTATGTTCAAAAAAGTGACGAGCTACCGGTTTGTCCGTGATGCCATCTCTAATCGCCAAGCATATACTTGAGCGGTGTCCCCTTATTCTTTCGCACAATTGTGTATCCGTTTTCCCAACGTAGTTTAGTCCGCATGGGCATGACAGTTTGTAAATGACATGATCTGTTTTACAAGAGATACGTTGTTTAATTATATATTTCTTTTGGGTGTGTGGATGAAAGAAAGACTTCGTGGGAATAAGATGCCCACATGTCACACATCCTAAACAACGAAAGCATCCTGGGTTGAGAAATTTATTCTGATTCCGCAGATAACTCTGTTCCGGATCAGTGCGGACTAACAAGTCTCGCAAATTTTTCTCCCTCTTGTAGCATATCATCGGACTTTGAGAGAATATTGTGGGCAAAGTTGGATCTCCCGTTAAGATATTCCAATTCCCCTTTACAGCTTGGACAAGTTTGGTACTAGCAGAATTGAATTTCATTGGAAAAGTCAGTCTTGTTGCCAGTGGCGTACTAAAGGGGGGGCGGGCGGGGCGGTCCGCCCCGGGTGCCAGCAGATTGGGGGGTGCCATGACCAGCCCCGCCGGCCCCCCCCATGCTGCAACCGCCCGAGCGCTCTGTAGAGAGCCTCGGGCGGCTGCAGCATTGCCCGGGCGGTGCGTCCATGAGGGCGGACCGCACCGCCCGGGCGCAACCTGAGGAGAGGCTGACAGGAGGGAAGCGCTCAGCGTTCAGCGCTCCCTCCTGTCAGCTTCCTTTGCTGTAGCATGGCCGAGCCCGGCAGCATGGTCCAACGGGTACAGGAGACAGCTGCTCTCTGTACCCGCGGACTATACTGGGCTCGGCCACGCTACAGCAAAGGTAGTGGGGAGGGGCGTGAGAAAGGAGAGGGGGGGGTGAGAAAAGAGGGGGGGGGAAGAGGAGGGGGGCAAAAAAGAGGAGAGAGGGGTGAAAAGGAGAAAGGGGTGGTGAGGGGGTGAAAGAGGAGAAGGGGGGTGGAAAAGGAGGGGGGGTGAAAAGAGGAGAGGGGTGAAAAGGAGAAAGGGGGGTGAGAGAGGGGTGAGAAAGAGAGGAGGGAGGGTGAGAAAGGAGAGGGGGTGAGAAAGAGGAGAAAGGGGGGTGAGAAAGGAGGTGAGAAAGAGAAAGGAGAGAAAGGAAAGGAGGGGGAGAGAAAGAGAAAGGAGAGGGGGGTGAGAAAGGAGAGGGGGGGTGAAGAGAGAAATTAGGAGGGAGGGAGATATTAGAAAAGGCAAAGAGTAAAGTTTTGGGGGGAGAGAAATTGAAATTAGGAGGGGATTTTGTAGAAGGTGGGGGGTTTTGTATTGGGACAGGAGTCTTTATAAGGGGGATAAGCAGGGGATTTGTGGAAGGGGGTTGCGGGGGTTTTGTAGACGAGGCAGTACAGGATTTGTAGAAGGGACAGGACAGAGGTTTTGTAGGAGGGGCAGGACAGGACAAGGGTTTTGTAGGAGGGGCTGACGGCGGTTTTGCAAAGTTTACAAATTGTAAAAAAAAAAAAGAGAACCTTTAAAAATTTTTACAGGTTTTTTTTTTTTTTTGGGGGGTGTGCCAAGCACAGGATCCGCCCCGGGTGCCAAATGCTGTAGGTACGCCCCTGCTTCTTGCCCATGATTGTTGCTGGATACTCACAGTATTCGCCATTTCCAATCTTGCTTTATCTAAAGCTGCATCAAGTATGTGCCGGTTATATCCCCTCATGAGGAATTTGTCGTACATACTATCCACTTGATTTTCAACCCGTTCAACCAATGAATTATTCCGAAACACTCTTAAGAATTGGGTATATGGTAAAGATTTCTTACTATGTTCAGGATGTGCACTCTCAAAATGCAATATGGTGTTTCTATCAGTGGGCTTTGAGTAAAGCTGATACTCTATTTTGTTATCTTTAATAAAAATCTCCAAATCCAAATACTGTACAATTGTATCACTGATATGGGCCGTGATTTTAACAGGACTGGGGAGACAGTTGACATTCTCCACGAATTGCTCAGCCTCAGCTACTGAGCCCTTCCACAAAATCAAAATATCATCGATAAACCGTACGTATTGTACGATCCGTTCTCTGTATGGATGTAAGATGTGTTCTTTCTCAAATACATGCATGTATGCATTCGCATACATCGGCGCCATCGCCGCGCCCATCGATGTTCCTGAGCATTGCATATACCACCGGGTTTCGAATCTGAAATAATTGAGTTGAAGAGTAAGCATAAGCAGTTCCATGATGAATTCTATAGGGGGACCCTTATAGAAAGATGACTCTAATAATATCTGTCTCATTGCTTCTATGCCTTCCTCATGGGGGATTATAGTATAGAGACTCTGCACATCTAATGTGATTAACACCAATTTTGTGGGAACTTGTTCAATTCTCTTCAATCTATCAATCAAATCCTGTGTATCCTTAATGCACGTTGGTAAATGCTCAACCGGATCTTTAAATAAGAAATCCAAATATTTAGCAATAGGTTCTAGCACCCCATCAATAGCAGAGACTATAGGGCGTCCAGGTGGTGACTGCAGATTCTTGTGTATTTTAGGCAATGTGTATATAATTGGCGTTCTAGGGTTGTTTTTCTTCAAAAAATTGAATAAATCCAATTCTATAAACCCCGCTCTTAAACCTGTAGTAAGAGTGTCTTCAATTTTACGCATCACAGTAGAAGTTGGATCATTGTTCAAGGGGGTGTACGTGTTATGATCTGCCAATTGTCTGTTGATTTCTGATGCATAATCTTCATAGTTGAGGAGCACAATCCCGCCTCCCTTGTCCGCTGGTCTCAATACAATGGATGGATCATTTGCTAGACCCTTTATAAGATTATGTTGAGCTCTGGACATATTGCTATGTCTAACTCGATGTTCCTTCAGGATACTGTCAGTTTGAGTCTTCAAAGACGTGAGAAAAGTCTTGATAGCAGGATGGCTTGGTGGAGGGTCAAAGGAGCTTTTCATTTTAAACTTAGATGTTTGGGTCATCATATTTTGTTTCCTGTTACCTTTCTCAAAGAATTCTTTGAGCCGGAGGTTTCTGACAAATTTGAACATTTCCACTTGCCATTGGAATTTACTTGGATGCGAAGTAGGAATAAAAGAGAGTCCTTTGCTTAAGATGTCCAATTCCGGGTTCGTTAATGCTCTATCTGAAAGATTAAACACTGGAGTTAGGGTCGTATTGGGGGTTTCCCTCCTTGACCAGTGTGGAAACCCTTTTTGACCTTGCCTGGTGTTCCCTCG